GACTTCTCAGTATCAGCAGGTTACTACCGAGAGAGAGAGAGTTGTGACTTGAGACTTGACGACATTGGATCCAGACTCGACCTTTGGGATTCAGACATTTCGACGAGGGACTATTGGGGCCTGTGCTGAACACTTGGTGTTGACGACATTCCCATCTTCCCCTCTTCTTCGTCTAACCCCCCATCTCCTTCGTCTGTGTATGTTTGGGGCTGGCACAGTCTTCCTGTGTGAAACGCCAGACCCCTTCACACCATGGGATGAGGATGATGATGTATGTTTGGGGCTGCATTGCAATATTGATTGTTCGGATCATTGGTATCTAAGTCTTCCGCTGTGCTATTTTATACTTTGTATTGAAAGGTCGGTTCTTGTTCTGGTCTGCACCTATACGGTATGCAACAACTCGTCGGGGATTCTGAATCACAGAATCAATCAATGCTGCTAACCATGGTAACTGTAAATGATCAGTGTTGAATCTGTTGATTGATATCATACAGTAACTACAGAATGTGAATTGATTCTGTTTTTTGTTCGGACATGTGTTGGTTTCCTGGGGGATTATCCATGCGTGTGCCATCCTTGCGCAGGGGTCATGGTTTTTTTTTTTTTTTTTTTTTAATTTTATTTTATTTTTAATTTTAAATCAAGCTTCTCTGTATCGCTCCAAATTTAGCCCTTGGAGGGTTTTCATCCACAGCCCGCGATGTGCTGGGATTGGGTCCTGACGGCTTCAGCCCCTTTCAACAAGATTATGAACCATAGCTCGGCCTCTTTCTACTGGATTATGAACCTGGTGCTGTATTCGGGCCAGATTCATTTTCAACCTGGTACTGTGTTTGTGCCAGATTCATTTTCCCGTAGGCTCTTTTCGCCAAAAGGGCAAATTTTGGGTCTGAAAACCCAGAAAAGGTTTTAAATTTGTGTGCCACTCGGTTGTATGTATCCACCAATTATCCTACATATGTATTTCGCTCTTGCTTGATTCCAACTGCTCAAGTCCAGGGTCTTCTTCTTCTTTTTTTTTTTTTTTTTTTTTTTTTTTGAAGTCCAGGTTCTTGCTCATGGACTTGGAGAGACAGCCGCGGCTTAAACGGACGGACCGTTTGCTGGAGAGAGAGACAAGTACGTGACCCTCACACACACACGCAGCATTGCCAATCAAACACCTGAGGGCATACTCACACGGGGACCAAAAGTCTAAAAAATTTGAGGCATTTGGTTCGCCTGTTTTGAGGCATTTGGTCCCCGTGTGGTCACATGGGCGGACCTCGTCCAGAAAGGAAGAAGTCGCGACCCTGACACTTTGCATTCACGGTAAGTGCGCCCGGTCACACGGGGGAGGACCAAACGATAAGATGGATCGTTTGAAAAAAAAAAATTAACGCTTGGGCCTTATCTGCAAATTATCTGCAAAGTAAATGTACGTGGTCGCACTTTCAGTTGTTTGGCGGGCTGGCTTCTTCTTCTACGATTCTCTTCAATTCGAGAAAACGGAAAAAAGAAAACGAAAGGTAATTTGAGACCACCTCCGGAGGTGGTCTCAAAAAGGGTACGCCCGCGGCCCTGCAGGCCGCTGACAGAAGGGTCACGATTTGAGGCATTTGGGTAGCGAGCCTCCCCAGTGTGACCCGAAAAATGACTCAAATTTCGGGATTTTGGGTTTTTTGGTCCTCGTGTGAGTATGCCCTGAG